GCGGGAGCGCGCGCCGCCCGCGGCTCGCCCGGGCCACCCGCCCAGAAAACAAAGTATCAACCGGACCGCACACGAGCCCCGCAGTCCGGCCCCGCGCGACTACCCCGCCGCGGTAATGCAATGCTTGGCAGGGAGCGGCCTCATGGCGACGGCGAGGACAAAATGGCGACCTGAACTTTACGACTAGGCCCCGGCCGCGACCGAGGAAACCGCTCAAAGAAACTGCACGCAATGCCACCGAGCCGCAGCCCGCCGAACTCGGGAAGAGGCAGGGAAGCAAAGCGGGCAAAATCAACAAGCTTACCTCTGACTTAGACATGACGGCAGTCGGAAGAGAGACGCACGATGCTTCCTCCGCGGCGTCCACCAGCAGAAAGAATGGAGCTACTGAACGTACTCAGCAGCCTACCTCGTCTTGCCTTTTACCCCGCCTCCGCGCTTACGGCATTGGTAGACTCCACCCCTGTCTAGCTCTCATTGGACCTTTGAAAGGGTGTACCCCTACCATTGGTCTGTGATGTGCGTACGCCCTTAGACGTCATCCGTTTGGGCGTTCCAAAAAGGCTCCGCCCCTTCGAGGCTATTGGTTCCCGAAGAATGTTAGCGTTGCCCAGTTTGATTGGCTACGTTACCAATCACTCATATTTGAATGTGCCCAGGGATTTAGACGCTTTTTTAATTCCCCTTACCCATATGTTACATGCAACGCTCTTTGCAAAAGGTGATTAGTACTATACGTTAGGGCAAGTAGTTTGTGACAAAACTTTTTTTGCCTTGACTGCCAACTGAGCGCATGTGTAGTAAAATGGCGAGTTTACGCAGGCGTATTAAGAAGTTCCGCCTGCCGCTAGGAACACGTGAAATGGCGGGCGAGAGAGGGCGGTGAAGCTACGGCGCCTGCGTGGTGGCGGGAGTTGTGCTCTGTTTTGCGCAGGCGTCATGGGCGGAGAAAGGGTCCGGTTCCAGGATTAGTTGCGCAGGCGCAGGGAAGGGTCCGTTTTGGCGGGCGGTTGGCGTTGCGCAGAAGGCGGCGGCAGCGGTGGCCTGTGGTGCGGCCTCACCACAGAGGAACAGGGCGGCCGTTAGTGTGAGTGATCGCTCTCGATCCCGGGTAAGTGTCAGAGAGTCTTGCTTACTCATACGAGGTCTTCAACCGGCCCCAGTTGGGCCCGTTATTGTGTGAAATGAATGGATCGCGGGGTGGGGTGGGGGGATAGTGAAGGGGCAGCGAAGGGTCGGGCCAACCAATAGAAGAACAGGGGGCGGGATGTTTTATCCCTGCAGGTTCTTTGGAGCTGTGCAGCCGAAGAGTTTGACTGGCGAGTGTGTAGGCCAATTGGGTCTGCCTCGAGCTGCCGAGTGATCGGCCCTTGGGCCATCGGAATGTGGGAGGCGGGTTTTCCCCTCCTGAGCAGCGTCTCACTGAGCCAATGAGCACGAAGCGCGCGGTAGGTTGGCCTCCGAGAGGCAGCGGTTTGACTCCAGTGGGGAGCGCGGGGTTCGGGCGGTTAAATAGGTGGACCACGTCCGGAGACTGTGTGGACAGGCTTTCCTGAAGAAGGGGGTCTTAGACTTGGAGTTGTTGGGGGAGGAGGGGCATTTAAGTGTTAGAACGAAAGGATCAGTCGGTGTATACTGTATGGGAGGCGTCCAAGAGAAATTTGCATCACTAGAATGCATATTTCCGTGAACAAATAGGTATGCTTGTAGGCCCACAGGAAAGGGTTTGGAATGCTGCACATGAAAGTGTGTACACGGATCGAGGCAGGTTGACCACTAATATTTAAATCTCTGCAGGGATAATAATTTGTCATTAAAAGTACGTAAAAAAAATAAGCTGGGCGTGGTGGCAGCGTCTGTAATCTCAGCGCCCTGGAGGCTGAGGCAGGAGGATCAATTCAAGTTCGAGGCCAGCCTGGGCTACAAAGTGAGTTCAAGGCCAGCCTGAACTGCATAGTGAAACCCTGTCTCAAAAATAAAAATAAAAATAAATTTAAAAATTAAATCAGTTGTGTGTTTCCAGTCATGTACTTATCCTTCCTTTTCTTTTCCATTATCATTTCTCTAGCGCATTTATCTTGGCCTCTTTCCCTGAGGAATCTTTTCTCCCATAAATATATCTTTCTTTGCACCATTAAAGATGTCCTCAGCCCTGTCTCTGTGGCTTCTTTGAAAATGTCTGCCTTTAGATAAAAAAGTTTTTTAAGGGTTTTTAGGTTTTTGGGACAGAAGACCCATCCATCATCTGGTTCACCATCCTTTTGATTACATTTCCTTCAAAGTGTATTTTATGTGTAGACTATCTTGTATTGGTAATGCCCATATGCTTATTCTAGGATCATTCAGAAAAATCTGTAATTTTTGTGTTGTTTCGAAACAGGGTCTCGCTATGTAGTTCGGGCTGGCCTTGAACTCAAGACGATCCTCCTGCCTCAGCCTCTCAAGTGCTGGGATTACAGGCAGGCACCACAACACCCAGCTAAATTTTTATTATGTCTTGGCTATATTAGAGTTTCTTTTTTTGTCTTTTTGAGACAGGGTCTTGCTGTGCAGTTCAGGCTGGCCTTGAGCTCACTTTGTAGCCCAGGCTGGTCTCAAACTGGCAACGATCCTCCTGCCTCAGCCTCCCAAGTGCTGGGATTACAGGCGTGCGCCACCACACCCGGCTTGTATTAGAGTTTCATTACTCTCTTGTTCACTGAATTATTTAGGACAGTCGGGTGTTTAAGTACTAACAAAATCAGCTACATGTCAAGTGTACTCATGATTAGAGGTTTTTCTGGTATTACACAGAAGAACTTATTTTAGTAGTTTACAATGAACAGTTTGCTAGTCTCACTGATACTTGAAAAAGGACAAGGCTGTATTTTATAACAAAGTAGTTATAAATCTGCATATAGGTATGCTGATAATGCATTTGCCCGAACTTCTAAAAGCTAATGTGATAATGGGCTAAGACTAGCCAAGATTTATATAAATTTGAAAGAAATCCCTCCCTCCACTCTTGAGAAAAAGGGAAGGGGAAAAATTCTTTTTGGAGAGAGTGATTTGGTACTAAAGGTTTATCCCAGGACCTTATACATGTTAGGTAAACAATGTACCACTACAGCCCTTTTGTTTTGAGTCAAGTTTTCCCCAGATTGCCTGGGTGGGTCTTCATGATTCTCCTGCCTTAGTCTCCTGAGTAGATAGGATTATAGGCATATGCCAAGATAATGGTGAAAAATACAATCTAAAGGGACAGTTGCGCTGGGTGTTGAGGCACACAGTACCAGCACTTGCCACAAGTTCCAGGTCAGCCGGAGGACATAGCAAGACCCTGTCTCCAAAAACAACACAAAACAAAAAATCCCCACGGGACAGTTGCTAGGGTGGATTATCCTCAGACTGTTTTCCTAATAGGAAAAGATGGGTAAAGTGTTCAGGAAGTGGCCTTTGGTAAATGGATCACTGATGTTTATCTCCAAGTACAGAATCAGTCATTGCCTTGTTGGGTAAATGCAAGACTTCAGTAAGGTTTTTAGCATTTCTTGCAATGTAGACGTGCGTTTAAGAACATTTTGTGTTTGGCATGCTAAAATAGTGAGAAATAGGCGTTGGTGACAGAGCTTAATGGTGGAGACCATGGTTAGTATGTAAGAGGCTCTGGGTTCACTTCTTAGCACCAAAAAAAGCACGTTTTTGAAGAAGGTGAACTTTGCCCAGTTTGGGTTACTTACAATTTAGTGAGACCCTATCTCAAAAGTTTATTAAAAAGGGCTGGGGATGTTGCTCAGAGTGAAGGCCCTATGTTCAAACTCCAGAACTGCCCCCCAAAAGTACTTTGTTTCTTAGGTTTTTTTGTTTGTTTGGGGTTTTTTTTTGGTCTTTTTGAGACAGGGTCTCGCTATGCAGTTCAGGCTGGCCTGGAGCTCACTTTGTAGACCAGGCTGGTCTCGAACTCACAGTGCTCCTCCTGCCTCAGCTTTTCAGAGTGCTGGGATTGCAGGCGTGCGCCACCATGCCCGGCTATTGCTTCTTATCTATTTACGTGGTTACCCTTTGTGAGATTCTTATGGATCATTGTCTCTCAAATGCTTTTGGCTTTGATTCTCAATAAGGAATACAGATTTTACACAGATGTTATACATTGAAACAATTTTATCAACGCACTCTGATATTTTTTTCATCTAAAGTATACTGTTTCATTTTGTTAAGAACCAGGTTAATTTCCACTAAACTCATCCTTCAGCTGTTTACAGACCCACAGTTTTTGTTTTGTTTGGGAGGAGGGCTGATCTGAAGAACAGGTAACCAAATCGTACCACTTTATTTTCTAAGTGGTTTCCCCCATCTCTGGCCCCAGCTGCTTGTATTATAAACGTATTGGTGGCCCCTTGTTTGGTGTTTTTACTAATGTGTTTTTGTTTTAAAAGCTTTAGAACTTGAAGTGAGCAGTCTTAGTTTGCCTTGCTGTGCAAGTGAAGTTGCCTGTTGATTATGAATTCTCTTCCAGTGCAATACTTAATAGGTGTGAGAAACACTTTGCTCTGGTAGGGAAATTTCAGTAACTTTTTATTGAAATTCTGAGAGTAGTATGTTGATTTTTTTTTTTTAAATTTTTTTAAATTTTTTTGTCTTTTTGAGACAGGGTCTCGCTATGCAGTTCAGACTGGCCTTGAGCTCACTTTGTAGCCCAGGCTGGTCTCCAACTCGCAATGATCCTCCTGTCTCAGCCTCCCAGAGCGCTGGGATTACAGGCCTGCACCACCATGCCTGGCTTTCCCAGAGTGCTGGGATTACAGGCGTGTACCACCATGCCTGGCTTGTGTTGAAAATCTTAACTAGGTTTATTTTTTGCTTTTGGAAAACCTGGTTTGATTGTTAACTTGTACCATTCTGTAATAACACAAAAAGGCCTTTATTATAAAAGTCAAAGCTCTTGTGTTTAGTGCTTAGAAGCCCACTATTTCAACCAAATTTGAAAGGATTATTTACAAAAAGAGAAAATAAAACATCTGGCCATTGCTTCTTATCTGTTTGTGTAGTTACCCTTTGTGAGATTCTTGTGGATCATTGTCTGTACGCCTGTAATCCCAGCACTCTGTAATCCCAGCACTCGGGAGACTGAGGCAGGAGGATTGCTATGAGTTCAAGGCCAGCCTGATCTGCATAGCGAGACCCTGCTTCAACAGGACAGAAAAACTAGTAAGTAGGAAGCTTCTACATGGTTAGTAGGTTAGCAGGGTGGTGGCAGGGGAAAGAGAGCAAACATCTGCAGTGCTTGGGTTTTATATGTCTAGGGAGACTCTGGAGGGGCTCCGAGCTTGTTTTGTTTTGTGACAGGGTCTTACTATATAGCCCAGGTGATCTTTAGCCTCCCAAATGCTGGGATTACAAGTGTGCGTCACCACACCCAGCATGTGTCAGAGCTCCTACCATACTTTATAAAAAGAGAAAAGTTGGGAATCCAGGGTACAGAGGTTTCTGAAGAAGAATAGTGAGTTTTTGTGTTGAGGACTGAACCCACCGTGACTTCCTACTTGTTAAACACACTTAACCCTGCGATACGTTCTCAGCCCCTCTTGTTTTTATGAAGTTTATGTAATAGCATGATTTCCATGTCTTATTGGAATCATCTGTTTAATATCTCTGCCTGATAGACTATTTCTTGTTTTTGTCCTTTTACTCGGTTTTTAAAATTTTCTTTTTTTTTGTTGTTTTTTTTCTGGTTCCGGGAATCGAACTCACGACCTTGTGCTTGCCAGGCAGGCGCTGTGCCGCTGAGCTAAATCCCCAGCCCCACAGAGGATTATTTTAACAATCTTTGTACTCAGGAAAAAGTCCAGGTTATCCTGAGAAAAGTTGGCTGATGTAGAGTCCTAGACACAGCTATGTTGGATTTCTGTTGATGAGGAAAATGAAACCCAAGGAAACCAAAACCTAAGGCTAGCTGGGCATGGTGGCACACGCCTGTAATCCCAGCACTCAGGAGGCTGAGGCAGGAGGATCGTTGTGAGTTTGAGACCAGCCTGGGCTACAATGTGAGCTCAAGGCCAGCCTGAACCATATAGTGAGACCCTGTCTCAAAAAGACCAAAAAAAGAAAAAAAAAAAAAAATTAAGGCTAAAAAGGCAGATATGCACAAAATGGCTGTTTACCCATGCCCTGTTCTGCTTCTATAATGCTGCTTGCACACCCTGCTTAGATATCCTATATAAGGAGATGAAAAGAAACGCTTGGGGCTCGAACTTCAGGGCGCCAAGCTCCTCTGGGCCCACTGGCGTAATAAAGCCAGTTCCCTCCGCTCTTTTGAGTGCAGCTCGGTTCTTTTCCGTACCTGATCTGCCATAACATTTGGTTCCGTGGCTGGGAAACTGACCATACTGGCCCATTGTGCCATTGGTCCAAAGTTGGGATTGGCTGATGAGTGCCTTTCTCGAGGGAACAGGACAGTGCACCTCCTGCC